GATCCAAGATCTCTTTGTCTCCAATTTAGTGTGGTGCGGTGGCTCAAGGCTGTGTTAGGTGTCGGCCGAAGTTCATCTGAATTCTGAAGAGGAAAATAGCTTTTGATATATTAGGTTAGTCTTGAAATTATTAGATATAAATTAGGATTATTAGGTAATAATAATATATATGTAATAGAAAATTAGAAATTAACAAAAATACACACACATGACAAAACTCTTGAATTTTACATATTTGGATTTTTCAGAAATTTTCATTTTTTTCATTTTTTTTATTTTATATATTTTTTCGCCGATCCAGTTTGGTTTTAAATCGCAATTAAAATTCTCAAACCTAAACCAAACCATTTTTGACCGGTTTGATTTGGTTTAAAATCATTTCGTTGACGGATTCACACGGTATCAAACTAACGGTTTCTAAAATACGATTTCGATTCGATTTTTCAGTTTGTGGATTTTTGGTTACAGTCCTAGGCGAGACAATGCAAAACAAGCCCCGGTCAGACTGAAGTTCTCTAGGAGGGCGAAAATAACCACAGTCCGGTCAACTGTACAATATGTGATTTTAAGGGGTTTTTCCTATCATTGTCAAGGATTTGTTGGTATTTGGAGGCACAACTTCCAATGCCCTTATATTACTAGACCTAGTCTAGGTCATAAAAGGGGGTCACACCAGAGAAAATGAGAAATCTTAATTTGACTTGGAAGGAGGAGATTTTGGATGCAAGATTATCAATCTTTCCTCGTTTTTATTTTTATTTTTATATTTTTATATTTTTCTTCTTTCATAATTTGTAACTAAACCAACTATTGGGACGAATGATGTAATCTAGTTGTGAACCTTTAATTTCTATTCTCAAAATTCTTGACTTTAATTCTTTCGTGTGTTGATTTTGCTTCAATTATTTATTGTCTTTGAAATACTTGGCCACTATTTCTTTGACTTGTGAATTTGTTATAAATCAAGAAATAAGTTACAGATTTAGACTAGTAGTAAATTTGACAATGGAATAAAAGTTAGATATACACTTATATTATTGTTGCAGCCATTTGTTGAATTCTTAGTGATTTAATGCATTTAGATGAGGCTTATTCTAATTCACATAGATATATAGTTAGTTAATTCGACTGGATAAGATTGATTTGAAATCGAGAGTGGTAAATATATTAAATTAGTGAATTTGATCAAGTACAATTTTAAGAATCAAACTAGAGAAGTAAGATTAAAGGTTATGACTCCATTGAAACCGCGAGTCCTAGAACTTTTTACACAAGCTAAAAATCGTAATTACTACTTGTGCACGTTTAATTGATTATCTTAGACTTATAGTATTTAGAATAATAATTAAAATCATTCTCAATTTTTTAAAACCATAATACAAATGAAGAATAGTTAAATCAATAGTTAGATATATAGTCCTCATGGAACGATAATCTAAACTCTTATATCCACATGATTACATGTTAATCAATATCTTACACTTGCGATATAACTCATGAATATGGGCGGATATGGGGTGGGGTGGGGTGGGGTAGGTTGAATAGGGTAGGGCATCCCGGGCCAGCTCTTGCCTAGATGTAACAAGAAAGGTTAAAAAAATTTATGGCCCTGTCTGCTTCCAAAATTAAACACATCCCAAGATTTGCGAACTCTCTTGTGTGACACTTAAAATCAGCCGTGTTATCATCCTAAGTCTTGTAATGTTGGTAATTGACTTTGTAAATCTACTGAACGAAGAAAACTCTTTAAATGAAGATCGAATTATAACATACATCTCAAAATTCGCAGGCTCTCTTGTGTGACATTTAAAATCAACCTTAATTTCTTTAGTCCACCTGTCAGAGACATGGACATCATCATCTTCATAGAAAATAGGTAGACCGTCATAACTGTCATCACAAAAATCTATACATTCTTCAATTTCTTCATCGAAGATTGGAGAGCCATCATAACTGTTATTATCAAAATCAACAAATTCTTTAATTTTTTCATCAAAGATTGGAGGACGTCTATCGTAACTAAAATCCAAAGATTCTTCCACCTTTGGATTATTGAAAGAAATAAAAAGGTTTCATCCCATAATCGAACTTCTACGATTGAATTTCACGAACACCAATTCCTCTTTATAAAAATACGAATCTCACTCTAATACAACTGATGTAGCAAGGTGGAAGCGAAAAAAACGTTAAAACAAACACATTATAAAAAGTTTCATTGATCCGAATGAATATTTTATAGTTCCTCTTGATTCCTAATAATACTTGATCTAGACATCAAAAGCTCTTCGATTCACGTACGAATATAGAAAATTTGGACATGTTGATTTTAAATATAAAATACGGAAAATTTAAGAAATCGAAGAAGATATCAACAATTAATCTTTTATTTATTCAAAAACCACCCCTTCCATGATGACTTGCAACCCTTGTTTAAATAGTCATTAAACTTAAAAGATAATGACAAAAACTAAAAGCCATATTATGCAAAATTGATCCAAAATAAAAGGAATTAGAATTAGAGTTTATTTAATAAAGAAATATTAATTAAGACCCGCAAACCAGCATTCACTGCGGAGTTCCTAAATCTCTATCCCATCATCCCCACACGAAGCCAATCCCAAAAATGACACTCCGGCCACAACCCATTCGATCAAATTCTAACTCTGTATTGTCCCCACTTTATTCCCAAATCACCCCCACAAGCATGGAAAAAATCTACGAGACTTTCTATATTACCTTTAAAATCAACTCCAACTGCACTTATCATCTGTACTTCCCTTTTCAGCAGTCTCGTAATGTTGATGCTGACCGTCACACGTATACAGGGTCCTCCAGGCTCCAACATCCACTGCCTCTACCCTTCCAATTCTTTCATCGCACATTCAAGCACATTCCTTATTTTCCAACACAACTGGGATAGTGTATCCGATCGAAGCCCTCGAAAAATCCAATTTTGAGATATCCATAATTCCTGCTGGCTTTACTAGGACAATAAGCTCTTTCTTGAAGGTTCCCCGCATACACTCGGTTGCAATCTTCCTTACTACAAAAAGAGAAGACAAATAGATTCTGGGTTCTCCTTTCTCCAACTGCAACAGGCGATTTCTATCTCCAAATCGCTTTTAAACACCATGACAATTACGCAAAGACGAATAATCTCTACCATAGCATCGAAAATAGAGAGAACTGTGTATTGTATGATATGTTAATGTTTGGATCGACATAGGGCATAAAAGACACTAGTATATGTTATAATACAATTTCGATATAAAAGATGTGAGGCTTGTAGATGTGATATTAGAAATAAAAATCATAAGGAAAGATAACGGGATCACACTAACTCAATCTCATTACATAGAAAAGACATTGAGAAAGTTTGATCACTATGATTGCGAGTCGGTTTCGCACCATTCGACTCTAGTCTTAGGTTGTATTCTGACACAGGAAGAACGGTTTCTCAATTGGAACATGTATGAGCTATGATGTACTACACCAAAAATGCCTTTGTTGTGGGAAAACTAAGTAGATACACAAGTAGTCCAAGTCAGTTGTGATCATGTGATTTCCCGCAAGTGCACGGGATTGTGATCAAGTAATATAATGATGAATAGATTGTCGAACCCACGACGATTATGTGTTTGATCGATTTAAAATGAATTTCAACTTTAATCAAATAACGAACAAATTTTGTGGTTTTTTCGATACTAATAACTAAACTATCAATTAAACTAATGAAAGTAAGTAAATGTATTTTTCAAATATGTGAGATGCATTGTTAAGATATCGAATCTCAATTATTATTCCTTTTTTAGTGTAACAATTAAAGTCACAATTTGAAATTATTCATGTTAGTCAATGTTCCTAATTTAATTGAAAACCTCTCTCGATAACGATCAAATTATTCCCTTCATGTGACTTTTCTATCTCTCGATAAAAGATGTAAACATGATAAATGCATTAACAAGTATTAGAACACCTATTGAAATCATATAAAGTATAGATGTATATTTCTATCCTCTGTCAAACCTTACAATATTTATTATAATGTGCTTAAAATATCTCTCGATAACAAT